GCTCCCTATGTGATCCTAAATTAACCACTTAACTATTCCAGAGTATTACATTTGAGAATATGTAAGTTCACATTTGAATAATAAAGTTTATAACAGCATTAATACATTTTTTCAGATAGCCTCAGTTTGGGATCTGCTTTTGCAAGAAATTTCTATCCCCACTCTCTATTATAAAGGAATATGATCTCATTTAAACATTGATATGAGAATGTATTTGCCTGTTTACATGAATTATATAGTTTGGTAGTTGGTGCCTTGTACCCCAAATTAATATTCACCCTCTAACCTAAAGATTGATTAAGTTTTCAACATACCAATAACTGATTTGACATTTGGAACACTAATTACCAATGAAATATATATATGTACATATATATGTGTATACATACACATTCAATAACTGTAAACTGAATAAGCAACATAGCATGTATCCTATATAATAAACATCCATATTTTCTTATTAACTTTCTTAACTACATTTGATGATTTTTAAAGTCATTGCAAGTAATTTGATTTTCCCAATTTAGGAAAAAATTCCGAGCTGCTAAAAAGATTTAATCTGCTGTAATGCAAATATAACAAGAATACAAAACTATATGTTATTGAATAAAAATCTACTTATAACAAGATTATTTTAAAGAACTCAAGTAAAAATGGTTTTATTAAAATCAAATAGAAAGTGTGCAAAGAAATGGACCCAAAATTTGAGATACATAAATTTTTCATATTTGCACATGTATAAAAGCAAAGTGAACATTTGTTCACAGGAAATTAAAGAAACTGATGCACTGGGGAAAATTCATTACTGGCGTTCTCTTCCATGATCCACTATCTGGGAGAGAGAACTCACCCCTCCCAACCCCATATGACTCTGATACTCAGTTCTAGCCTCCTACTCATTCTATTTAAAACAAATCTTGGTCATCTTCTCTAGGTCTGGCCCTGTTCTAGATTCTAAAACCAGACTTTTTCCTGAAGGAAAAATTTAAAGAACGCAGGGAAATTGAAAAACAGTTTAGCCCCACTTATTTCTCTACCCTTCGTGGCCGAAGTCCGTTCTGCTAATTTAACATTCTGGGCTCTCACCCCAGGAGCTGAGTTAACCCTCCAGTGATTCAAGTTTATCCAGATGCTAAAGATGTCTAGCTTCTACCCCCACAACCTCCTGACAGTAATGACTGGGCCCTTCAGTAATCAATTTTGAACTTTTATTGATGTTTAGCCTCAGCAATGTGAGTTTGACTCAATTCTAGATCCCAGCCATCCCAAATCTCGCTATTCCTACTGCCAACTGAAATTATAGTCATTATTAAATAAGAAAAGTAATCTTCAATCCTCAGTCTGTCTTGACATAGTCCCTTTCCCTTTCAGTGTCCCTGGTCTCCAGGTCCTACTGTTCTTCTGTCCTGTTGGCCACAATGTCCTTTATCAGTCACTCATTTTCATACTTTCAATGCTCTCTGGCTTTTGATTCTACCTCTCCATGTCCTATGACCTCTGAACCCTAGTCTGAGCTAGATATAGCTGATTAACCTAGATCTTCACTACTAATATGTAAAGTTATTAAAGCAACATTTAACATTAATAGGTACTTAACTATTTGATTAGTTATGGTATTACATATTTACCTTTAACATTTTTTTTATTATGATGGGATCAATGAAGGAATTAGTGTCACAAAAAGGTATTACTTTAAAACTAAAAGAGATAATTCTATTCTTTCTTCACAGAGAGTCTTACTAGTGACCTTTATAATAAGAGACCTGGGAGATAGTCAAGATATTAAACTGAGATAAATGGCAGTTAAATGGAAGTAAAGATATACTCAATTTGCCCCTACTTCAGGTAGGAGGATGTTTAAATCATTCTATAGACTTTTGGTAAATGCAGTAGCAAAGTGGCATAGTTTCTTATTTTCCAAAGAAAATTTTATATTTGAAGTCTCAGATAACTCACTGATACTCTAAAAATATGAGAATCTCTTCCAGAAATGTATCCATGCCAACAGTGCTCACAGGTACAAATGTTCTCCATTTAAAGCAGAAGAAAAGTAAAAATGTGAGGCAGAACATCTTAAATATTCAGTCCAAATTTGGGAGTCCAAATTTGCCCACAATAAGTCTATTGTAACCAAGCTACTAATCACAATTCTACAGTGAGAACTAAAAATTCTCATACTCTTATAGAAATTTTCTATATAAGGGGGATGACAGAGAGAATAACCTGCCAGTTTACTAAGCAAGGAAGTCACAATACATCACGGTGTTACAGGACAGGGAGAGGGGCACCCCAAATCCCTAAACCTGCCTGTCTAAATAGGTTCTGCCACTGTAACAGGGTGGTCCCCAGGAAAGGGGGAGGTTCCCTGCCCCTCCCAAGGGAGGGTGGAGCTGAGCAGGAAGAGGAGAAGCTGCAGAAGAGACTGAGGAAGGAAGCAGCATGGAGCCAGGAGACCTGGAGGAGGCACATGGAGCCTAGAGACACGTGAAGAAACTGCGCTTGTCTTTGGGTCGTGGACTAGGTGACACAGATGTGGGTGAGACCCGTGGGGAGGTGACAATGGCAGCTTTTATCTTGATGTTGATTTTGCTCTTTTCCTTCCGGGCTTGTCCAGTTGTTTGTGACCCTTTTCTATGGGTCCCCACTGGAAGATGCTTTAGACCTGTGGCCGGCTTTGGGGCCTTGCTCTGGGCCAATCCCATATGGATGGACTTTTACCCACGAGGGGACGGGTAACTTTGGGTGCTTCATTTAGAAACTAGACTCTTTGCCTTACCTGTATTGTTTCCTAGTTTTATTAAAGTTCCTTCCCATTAAAGTCTCCTATGTTTTGTGTTGATGCGGCGGATGGCAGAACCCATTTAGAATAGGCAGGTTTGCGGGGCTTGGGCTGACCCTCTCCCTGTCCTATAACACCACCACCACATCAAGACAAAATAGACTGTAGTGCATAAGACCTTCAGTGGAAAGGAACTTTAATATAATTAGTGTGCAATACAGAAAAGGGAAAGAATGGGAAGAATAGAGTTCCCAAATCAAGCACCTGAAGTTACCCATCCCCTCATGGGTAAATGCCCAAAGAAGGGCCTCTGAGGCACAAAAGCCTACCACAAATCTAAAACACCTTCTGGTGGGGATGCATAGAAAAGGGTCAGAAACAGTCAGACAACCCTGGGGGGAAAAGAGCAAAATCAATGCTGTCATTGTTAGTCTCCCCACGGTCTCTCACCCACATCTGTTTCAACCAGACCAGGGCCAAGAAGCAAGTGCATCTTCTTCACATGTCTCCCTGCTCCACGTGCCTCCTCCAGGTCTCCTTCTGGCTCTCCATCCTGCTTCCTTCCCACTCCAGTCTCCTCTCCATCTTCTTCTCCTCCCAGCGCAGCTCCACTCTCCCTTGGGTGGGGCAGGAAACCTGAAACCTCCCCTTTTCCTGGGGACCACCCTGTTGCAGTGGAAATGATGCTTCCATAGGAGCTGGGACCAAGGCTGCCTGGTTTTGAACCCCAGCTCTGTGTGATGTTAGCACTTCACCGCTCTCAACCTCAGTCTTCTCATTTGTAAAATGGGCTGGATAATAGAAAATACCTCATGGGATTTTTTGTGAGTTTTAAAGGAGACAATAAAATTGCTTCGAACAATACTTAATTCATCGGGTTGAGAATATTTTGCCAGCCATGAGCTCGGGTTGTAGGGAGTCACAAATCAATGACTTTTGCCCTGCTCAGTCTCTTTCAGGAGAGAGATGACAAGACCTCTTGGGCATGGAAGTGCTACTGCAAAGGCTTAGGTTAATCAAGGGATAGAAATAATTCCAGGCTGCCTGCATCTTCTGGTCCAGAACTGGGTGGGCTGCACAGGATAAAGTCCTCCAGGGTTCCATCATGGGTGCTGAGACCCAAGACCCCACTGCTTTGAATGCACCTTTCCTTTGCCTCACTTTATTTCCAATACTCATATTTCCCTTGGTTTGGGATATCTAATACAGTGCAGAGTTTGGTATTTCTTAGCACCTTATTCTTCTATATGCTATCCCTACTTTCGTAGCATCACTAAAATCTCACTCTTTAATTTTAATATAAATCCAGGTAGGTTTCAATTGTAATGAGCACTATATTGTTAATTCTTATTTTATATGATGGGGCTTTATTTTCTTTTTAAGAGGCCCATGATGGAGCAGGCAAGGTGTTACGATTAATAAAACCACATCCTAATGTTTCATTGGTATCCCACCTCTCCATGCAGTCCTTATACAGCAGACATTTCTTTGATTCCAATGGGACTCTTTTCCTGTGCAAATGCTACAGAATTCTGCATTTTATTGAGGTGTGAGTTAAACTGTCTATCCAAATTGAATGGAGACATTTAGAATTTTGCCATGCATGCAAATGTCTCAGAAGCTACCTTTTCTACAAAACATATTCCAGTCCCAGCATTTGTCAGGAACACTTTATTCACCCTAATCACTAAACAAATTTTTTCTCAGTCCTTATGTCTTCCTTTCATTATTAAATATGCACATATTGTTCTATTCTGTGGGGATTTTTATTTTTTATGTATCTCTCACCTGTTTCTTCCACTGACTATAATCACTTCAAAGGCTGGATTTTTTTTTTTTTGCTGTTTTCCTGTTTAATATATTTATTTATTCATTCTACAGACATTTATTGAGAACCACAATGGCCCCTAGTGTGAGGATGAAGAGTTGTACAAAGCAACTTCCCACAAAAGTCATAGGTTCTATTCCCATCCAGTAAAGCATGAAAAATAGAAGACTAAATAGTATTGGGGTAGTTCTTGCTTTTCTAGGACTACATTTTTGTTCTTGTGTTGCCTTCTCCACTTTGCCAAAACCAGTCACTTCCCTTTCTGTCCTTCTACAAATGAAAAATGAAAGGAAAAAGAAAAAGAATTCAAGAGCACAAGAACTTTATAATCCAAAAGTAGCCACAATTTCATTTTAAACCCCAATGGAATCTTTTCTCTCTCTCTCTCCACAGGATAGTGGCCAAAGCATCCCAGAACCTTATGTCCACTCAAAGCTTAGGGATTGTATTTGGACCCACCCTCCTTCGAGCTGAAAACGAAACTGGGAACATGGCAGTCAACATGGTGTACCAAAACCAGATAGCGGAACTCATGCTGAGTGAATACAATAAGATCTTCAGCTAAGAGGAAGACTGACAGACAAGACAAGTTACTGAATATGTTCACATCTGTCTTGATGCCTAATATTTTTACATTTCTGTAAACATATTTCTGAAATATTTTTTTTCCTTTCAAGCGACAGATGCCTCATTTTGTGAAAACTTAATGATGATTTTGTGTATTAGTTCCAAACATTTGAATAAAATAGTTGACAATATTTGCCTATATGTGTTCTACATTAACCCCTTCAGTGCTGTTTCTTTTAGCACTTCTAAGCATGCATTATGCATGCTCCATGCTATTAAATAATGTTCAGAGTGCACATCCAAAAGATAGCTTCAGTATTGCTCCTAGACACTGGGTGTGGGGTCTTGTAAATATGAGAGTGAGTGTGAGTGTGATTCAGAGTAAGAATGTGCTTGTATGCACAGGTGAATGGGGCTTCTTACTATCGGATCTGCCTGAGGTAGGTGCCCAACACTGGGTAAGAGTAGAAATAAAAGATGGAGGAAAGAAGAAATTGATCATCTTAAAATAGAGCAAAAAGATCAAGTTCACAACCAAAATAGACATATTTCATCTTTCAAAAATAGTTTTGTATGTGTAAATATAGTCCAGCTATCCTTGATGCTATATGGTGAAATTTACAAAAATATGTTGAACGGCAATTTTTCTGCAGAAATACAACAGTTTAAAACATTTGCCATTGCCTAGGTTAATATTATATATATATAATATATATACATATATACACATATATATGCCTTGCAGCCTCATAAACAGACTGACTTATAAATTAGAAGCAAAATTAGTGCCCCTGCAATTTTGATCTTTATATTGTACAGGAATTGCATGACTGCTCATTTTTAATGTTTACATTCATTTTGAATCTTCATCAAACTCTGTATCTTCCTTTTTCACTGGCTATGTCATTTTATGTAGAAATTTTATTATGCTTCTGTGAATGCTTTATTGGTGAATTACATTAAATCCATCTAGAAAGAACTTTTTTTAAAGGCTTTTTTTTTTTATATATGCCCTAAGGATTATTGACTAGACTTGGATTGCTTTATCCATTTGATGGATAGTTTCAGTTGTCATGGATAAACAAAAGGGTAACTGTCTAGAATATATCAAACATTGTTTTATGTTGAAAAGTAGGTTCTAGCCGAACACATCTTCTGTTCAGTTTTGTGAAAGTATTCTGCTGATAAAAATATAGACTTCTGTTTGACAGCTTTTTAATCAAATTCAAATGAAATAAATAAAAGTAATCCAGTACAATAAAAAGTATGTCTAGTTATCAATTTGTTCATAAAATGAAAAATAAAGCATGTAAATAAAGCTCATGAAGCACAGATCCATGAGCAAACACTTAGGGCGTTAGTGGGCTCAGAGTGGTAGGCTGTATGGATGGGGTCCATGGTGGTGGTGGGAGGGGAAGAGGGGCAAGGGTCTTTTCAGGAGAGAGTTACACATGCATGCACTCTTGCATCTACAGAGCTGGGGGAGGAAAGAAAGATTCCTCTTGCCTTTCTTGAATGTCTTCATTTTGGCAATAGCACCAGAACATCAGCTCATGTCCAAGAGCAGGAAAGCAACCACAATAAATGCTAAAGAGTGTTTCCATCTACTGGACATGTACACATACCACAGAGCCAAGGCAACTCACAGGAGGAAAACCCCCTTGATCTAAAGTCACACACACAGTGAGCTAAGACTTGTTAGCTGCAAGTTCTTCTTCTATGTAAAGTTGTACTTAACGGCTTTCAGAAAAACATGGAGGCATAAAAAATGTTTCTGGCATTCTATTTCAAGACCTCTTCATTTCCATGACATTCTATATTCTCAATTATGTCTCCTCCAAGACTTTAATTACTTCTCTTTTCGAAAGGGGGAGGAATGGGCTTAGTAGTTAGTCTCAGCATTACAATCTTATCCCTCACAAGTCCATCTTTAAAATGATTCTGTGAGCAGTGGCCAGAGAGGACCCAGCCAAAGAGAAATGGCACTACCTGCTTTGATGGGGACTCACAGCCTCTCGTCACTGCTGCTTTCCAGATTTATAATCTTCAAAAGCAGCAGCTTCTTTATTTCCAATCTGATTGGATTTAGCCACATTCAAACCCCAGCTGTGTCCTTTCCCTGCCTGCTAAGGGTCTTTAACCAGAGACTATGTTTCCTCATTGGGAAAAGATACTCCCAAAGTGCTGAGCCAAAGTGCCCCTGAAAGGCTCTGACTTACACACCCCAAAGGCATAAAAGGCTCTGCCAAGAGATCACTAGATTCCATAACATCTCAAAGACAGTGACAGTGGTCATATCAACTGTTCCAAGTTTAAAAGCTGAGAAAGGAGGTGTACTAAGTTGACGCACTAAGAGGTTAGAGTTTAAAATACTGATCCCACTGTTCCCCTCAACAGTGTATTTCAGTCAATCCTCCTGTTCTGCTCCCCACCCTGTCTCTGGTGAATCCCCTCACCCGCACCCCCACACCTCTGGCCTGTACCCCAGTTCTTCTATGCATAAATAAATAAATGTTCAAAAAAAATAAAATACTGATCAACATTATCCATCCAGACATAAAAAGACAATGATTTTTTTTTAATCACTTCACTTGAGCCAAGTACAAGTCTAGGCACTATTGGCACAAATATAAAGTAAGGCAAATATTCCCAACTTCTGCGAGTGTCATAATACAGAAAGGCCAAAATCACCTAGGCATTAGTTACAGTCAATAAAAGATCAAGGACTTCAGTCATCTTGATAACTATGTAGCTCCAGGGCTCACCAAGATGCTCAAAAGGTTTTTTCCCTATTTTATTGACCAAAAAGTATTTTTTAATGAATGAATCAATGAGCAGAACTTAGAGCAGAGATATTAAAATTCAGTGGTTTACCAAGAACCAAATAAGAAATTGTGCCTGGAAGAACTGATTGAAGCTTCCTCAGAAAGGTAACTTCCTCAGTCTAATCTTGACCAGTGAATAAGATTTACCAGACAACGTGTTACAGGGCAGGGAGAGGGGCACCCCAGACCCCGCAAACCTGCCTGCTCTAAATAGGTTCTGCCATCCACCGCATCAACACAAAACATGAGACTTTAATGGGAAGGAACTTTAATGCAATTAGGAAACAACACAGGAAAGACAAAGAATATAGTTCCTAAATCAAGTGCCCAAAGTTACCCGAACCCTCGTGGGTAAAAGTCCACCCAAGCAGGATTGGCCCAGAACAAGGCCCCAAAGCCTGTCACAAGTCTAAAGCATCTTCCAGGGGGGGACCCACAGAAAAGGATCAGAAACAACCAGACAAGTCTCAAAGGAAAAGAGCAAAATCAAGACAAAAACCGCCATTGCCACCTCCCCATTGGTCTCTCACACACCTCTGTGTCACCCAGTCCACGACCAAAAGGCAAGCGCAGTTTCTTCACATGTCTCTCTGCTCCATGTGCCTCCTCCAGGTCTCCTTCTGGCTCTCCCTCCTGCTTCCTTCCTTCATCCGTCTCCTCAGCAGCTTCTTCTCTCCCTCAGCTCCACCCTTCTTTTTGGGTGGGGCAGGAAACCTGGAACCTCCCCCTTTCCTGGGGACCGCCCTGTTACAAAAGGAAAATGTAGAAGACAAAGAAGGAAGCAGAAACCTCACGACCAGTCTTAAATAGATCAAGAAAAAGTGAGGTCAGACAACAGAGGATGACGTGCACACCTGGTAATTTTATACAGAAAACAGAGCTGGAAGAAGATGGTGTGGTCTTAAATACGACATGATAAAATATTTAGTTTATTCTGTAGGCAAAAGAAATACAATGGGGCCTCCCCTGGTGGTGTTGTAGAGCAACCCCGATACAAAACGGGGTGCCTGACTGTGGGTCCTCACCCGCATTTCCCCCTAACAGTGGCACAGCAGTTGAGCGCTGGGCTGTGAGGCTGCCCACAGCCTCTGCGGAGCCGGTTCATTCCCCGGCCGCTGGCGAGGGTCCCACAAAAAAAAAAAAAAGAAAGAAAGAAAGAAAGAAATACAATGGGGGTTATAAAATACTAAAATGATAGTGGAAATGTATTTCTTAGAAAGAGAATCTCAAATTTCACGAGTGGGCAGAAGAAACAAACTACTTTGAAGATGAGTGTGTGTGTGCGCACACACGTGTGTATTCTTTACATTTTCTACCAAAGCAAAAATCATTTTGTATTATCAATGATTGAATACCTCAGCAGGTACACACCTCTGTCCCTTTCATTTCAAGCAGGGAGTCTCAAGTTTGCTAAAGCAATGATAATCCTGTACTCTTAGAGCATGTCTACATTATGATGAGCAAATATTTTAGGAAATTAAAAACTAGTCTTTAGAATGGAAGCATAGATCTGAAACAGTTTCCCTGGAAAATCAAGCTAGTTACTATGCCCTGTTTATGCACGTAATTAATAACCAGAACACAAGATGGAATGGACAGAGCTAACGGACTTGACTTGGACTTGTCGGCTTCTAGGAAGTTGGCCCTCTTTCTTACACAGCATCTTGGAGAAGGTATTTACCCCATCCTATATGTTGAAAGTCTTACTTTACTTAGCATGTGCCATATGCAGGATCACCATGCCACGGCTAGTAATTGAAAGCCATATGATGGTTCTCCCTCTCCAATTAGAAAACAAAGGATCCAATTAAGAAAAATTAGAAAAGCTGTTAAAAGGGAACAATCACTTGCCAATGGTGCTGTCCTTACAGTTTAACACAGCTAGAAATTGACCTGTACTTCTCTTTTCCACATTTATTTTTGTGAATTATAAGTTAATCACTCTGTCAATTCCTAATTAAAAGGCCCTGCAAAGATTTTCATCAAAAAGGACTGTCACTAAGAGTTCTGGGTCAAATTGCTCTGTTGTCAAAAACTAGAAATAAACCACAACAGTATCAACTCTCTCCTGGGAAACTCAAAATCGTAATACAAAAAAAAAAAAAAAAAAAAAAAAGACTTCTTCAAACATCATAATCTCATGTTATTTACTCAATTAAAACAGTCAACTTATCTTTAGAAAATAGACACGGGTTTCCCTCCTCCCCCTTTCTTTAAAAACAAAGGTTGAAATGCAAATGCTTACAGCGGGGCCAGGGGGGAATACCAATGAGAAAAGCGGAGCAGGCCTAATACATTACTAAGTGGTAACAATAGGGGAAAACTTAAACTTAGCCCCAGGCCAAAGGGTGGGCTTCTACGCAGCTCAAGCAGACATGCTTATGTGGGAATGTGGGCACAACGTTGATAGATCTTTATGAAAATCCAGAAGTTCAGAAACTTATGCAAAAGCTGATTTTTAAAGCCACCTAATAAAACACATCTGAGAAGACTTAAACCAAGAAAGACCACCATTTTTATGAACACAATGTTATACCTTCTGATATTGCAAAATTGTAGCATCTGAAACAAATTCTAGAGACATGAATAAGTCAGAGCAACGTGTAAGAGTAGAAGACAAGCAGATTATGCACTTAAGAGAACTTGCTGTTCTGGTCCAAAGCAAATCATTTAGTCTCTCTGGCTCTCAGTTTGCTAACCTATAAAATAGAATATACTTGTTTTATCTTGCCTCTTTGGACAGTCTCATGGGATCATGTAAA